GTGTGGTGACACCAAGTCACATTCCCTGTCCTCCCTTTCTGCCAGCACCTTACAATAAGAAGAATGCCTTCAAATTAATTAAGTCTAAAGAAAATAAGTGACTAAGGGTGTAGGTGAGACAGGCAAGCTTGGTGGGTGCAAGGAGGGAGAGCTGAGCTCTCTAGAATACAGGAGCTGAGGAAACAGCAGGACATAGACATATATCAACACATGCAAAGCCTCATTCACTCAGTGCCCAAAGTCCTTGACACTTCATGGTACAAACAGACATGATACACCTCCCGACCTAAGTGTGGCAGTGCCAGCCACCATCAGCCTTACAGAATAGAAGGAAAAGAACATTTCTTTTTGTCCTAGCTAATGAGAGAGTCCTTGGGCAAGTTGTCATAAATTCATTTTAATCTCTACCTTTTGTTTGTTTGTCTAACAAATATTTGTTAAGAGTGACACCAGATGCATGGAATACAAATATTAAGGGGCAGGGGAGTTGCTAGTATACTAGTAGGAAGCTGGACACCTAAAAAATATCATAAGACAATGTGTAAGTGCTGTAACTTAGCAATCTGTACAAAATTGTATGGGGGCACGGAGGAGGAGGCAAGTTCAGTTTTTACTTGTTTGAGGCAAGATATACATGGATATGCTGTATGGACACTATTTTTGTGAAGAGTGGAGGACGTGAATAACGTTCATCTCTCTTGTGATCAGTTTTGCCTGAACAGTTACTCATTGCTGCCTTTTCCCCTTTTTGTGGCCCTGGGATGGGGAACGTATGCTGGTTTTCACATGAATCTGCTTGGCAGATCAAATAATTCATGCTCTGTAGCAGGACAGCAGGAACAGCATTTATTTGACATATTCAGTGGGATCATAGGAGAGAAGACTGTCATGATGTCACTCCTCCCACCCTCCCAGAAGAGAGAGTAGAAAACTCAGTTCCTGGGCGTTGACCACTTGAATAGCCAAATGGCAACAAGTCATACTTGAGAAAGAACAATGCTATGGAGGTTTGAGCTACATGGGAAACTTTGGCTGAGAACAAATCCCAGTCTTTGTGGCCAAACAGTCATGTGGTTCAACTTTAGAATCTCCTTTGACCTCATTCATAACCAGATAACAAAGAAATGAACAATGTGGTTGAAGAAATCCTGTATTTCTCCAGGATTGTTCTCTTTATTGTCTTATTTTAAAAGAAGTTTGTAATTTTGTTTGTTTGTTTTACCTCGTACTTCATCTTCCAAAAATTTGTGGAAAGAGTCTAACCCCGATAGGAAATTTCACTACTCACTCAGAATACATGTAATTGGTTGTATGTATCCAAACCCTCTCTCTACCACTTACTAACTGGGGAGACGAGTGATTTACATAATAAACTCAAAAAGCTTGGTTTCCTTAACTTGAAAATAAGAATATTGCTTCTATCATCTACCTCGAAAGATGGTGAAGCTCCTTTGGCTAGGAGTGCTTTAGGTTTCTTTTTGTTATTAGGCCCATAAATCTAAGTGGCACCTGTTGTTTTTTCTGTTTAGAATGTCAGGCACTTTCCTTTGCCTCCCGCACCATGATAGTAGAAGAACTACTGAAAAATTATTGCAGGTTCTCTAAATGACTTTTGACACCTAAGTTGGTGTATTTTAGTTAAGACTTTGCTTACACTAGAAGATTTGCTAGTGTTAAAAACATGTGGTGGTTCCCCCTCCCCACTCCCCACCTTCCCAAACCCACTTTACTCCCCAGGTCTTCTAAGTGGCTGAGGCAAGTTTCTTCAGTTGCTGAGGAGGGCTAATCTCATAATAGCTGGTAGGCCTCAGCCGGTCAAGGTGGTCTTCTTTTGTCGGATGCTTGGAGGCAACCCTAGGACCTCAGTCATCCAAGTCCACAGGAAAAACAGCAGAATACAGCTATACATAATTTAGTAACCTTTATTCTATGACCAGCATCTTAAAAGAAAAAAAAAAAAGTCACTAGTGTTTCTCTTGAATTTTCTTTTGAGTTAAGGCCTTCCATAGTCAGAACTGAATTGCCAAGTATACTGACTCATTTCTTCATTATGTAAGCCATTAACAGGTCACTGCTCAGACACTGGAATACCTGCTTTGGACTAACAGCAAGGTGCCAGAATGACTCTCAGCTGTGCCCTTATCCATGAGCTCACCTGGGCTCCCGGGAGAAATACCAGACTCTGCTCCTACCTTTAGCACAGAAACCTCATTAGCATGAAAACTCTCCACCTCTCTTCTGTCTTCCCGGCAGTACCTACCCAGGGGAATGGAAAGAAACTATGCAAGAGGCAGATTGCAATTACCAAGTGAAACTTTCTGTAGAAAATGCAGATCAACTAGATCTGGATGTTGGGGAAATATGAAGAGTGGGAAATGTCATCCCAGTGAACTTGAAAGCTGAGGCAGAATCTTTGGCACTGAGTTTTTAAAGCAAACACCATAGAGAATGGCCTTTGGGATCCTGGGAAATTGAAAAAAGAACAGCAAATTTACACAAAGAGGCCAAAAAGAAAGTAAATGCTTAAGAAATAGTAATTTCTAAAAACTAGCTCTAAAGAGGCATTCTAAACACTGTTTCATTTAAAACCATTGCAAAGTTGAATATTTATATTGATAATAGCTGTGACCATGAAATTTTTTGGTTTGGCTAAATATAGAATGGTTTGGCTGATACCATGTATACACATATGTGTGGGTGTACTTTTTCCCCCATTTTGTAATTATATCAAAGAGTTCGTTAAAAAAAAAAAAAAGACAAACATACCTTGTCACTCTCTGTGATTGGCTGTAGCTGCTGTGTGTAACAGAGCTTTGGCTTAATTAAGTTCTTAATCCTTCCTTCTCTCCAAAAATGTCATACCATTCCATGTGGTAAATGCAGACATGGGAATTCATTTATTTCTGAAACTTATCTGCTTTCTGCAAGGGGATGGCCCTAGAGGAGTTCCTGGGTCTCAAAAGCAAGATAGTAATATTCCTCCAGTCATTACTATCACTGGTGCACATCAGGAGTATTATGGGATTGATGAACCCATCTTAAAAGAACTTTTCATTGCTCTTCATAGCCACTTATAAGGTCATAGCCACTTATAAGGTCATTAAATATCTGTGTTAGGAGACATCCAGAGACACCAGACTTTTGTTCATTTTCTTCCTTGTTTACATGCATTTCTTTCTGCCCTTGATAATTCCAATTCAACTGTAACTGGATAAAGTCTTTCCTGACCATTTTGGTTCCTCAGTAACTGAGATATTCTATACAAGAGAGTCAAAAACTTGACATTTACTGACATATTTTGCTCTTTCCAGCCATTAAAATCATATTGTTCAAAGAATTTAAGTCTCAATAAAAGAATAACATAAATAAATAAAATAAAAAAAAATAGAGGAGGACTTAGCAACTCCTGTGAGGGAGAGGTTATTTGTAGTGAAGATATTGGAACCACCTCAGGGTACAGGTTACATTTAAGGTAGAGCTGGAAAGAGATCAGGTTTTGACAGGTGAGCTGTTTCTTTTACAGCCACAAACATCTTCTTTCGCTGAGAGCAGGATCTTTCTGGAGGCAGAATATGAGCTCTCTTCCCTGAGTGCCTTTCCTGACAATGCAGGTGTCTAACGCATATTTGTCACCAGGGGTGGTGGTAAAACATCCCTTCTGGGAAAGAAGAATGGATGTGATATAATAAAAACATCCAACCACATTGTGGAACAGAAGCATGGTCTTGTCCAGGAGCCTAGCAAGGTTTTCCAAGAGAACATTTTCCCTTTACCTGTTTTGTTTTTGTTCCTGTATTTGGATCCAGATATTTTGCTGCCTTATTAAAGAAAAGGTGCAGGAGTGAATGAGGGTCTGGAGGGCTTACTAAGTCATCTTCAGAGGTGGCTCTCTGGCAAGCTTTTCCTAGCTAGGAAGGAAAGAAGCCATCCTGGAAATTCAACTGAAGTTGGTTATTTTTAAGTCTTTGAGCCTTTCTTTGTGCCTGGTTCTGTTGTCTTTGACATATCTACTTAGCATCTAATTAAGACAGGCTGTACTCACAAATAACCATTGAATTCATGTAGTGAACTCTGGGGAGATGTGGGAGCCTGGGGTTTCCACCACCAGCTAAAACTCAGGGCTGCATCTGCCTCTACAAAAGCACTTTTCTGGGAACTTCTCTTTCCCAACCCAGCCTCTCCTGCCAGTTTATCAAGAAGCCACAAAGGTGCTTATATCAGGGAGTGAGGGAAAGGAAAATTACTCTTCTTGTGTATCTTCCCTCATCCTGGCTTTGCTAGCCAATCACAGGCACCTCAAAGGAGTACACGGCCAGCCGAAGAGCGTTTCCCTGCAGTCCTCTGCCATTGACCTTGGCCCAATTTGTCATATTTTGGCCGATAATCCCAAAGATGAGGGAAGCATTATTAGACTTGATGTGCCACTTTTTTCTCTGGAGCTGTTTGTTTTACTAGCTAATGATTCCTCAGTGCTAAATTAAAAATCTAAGATTTTACTAGCAAATGATTCTGCTATACTAAAAACCCAAGGCCCACATTTGCTATGTATATGAAATATCTTTTAATTTACCTGTATTTTTAACCTTTTGTTTTCTCTAGATGTTGTCAAGTTTTTAATCTACTGATTTCTTTTCTAGATTTCCCAAGTCTTCCTAAACCTCAACTTGTTTCTCATTTGTAGATGAGAAAATTTGATCTCTGTCCCTGTCATAGACTCTACATTTCTACCAAAAGTAATATATTCTGTGGAGAAAGTATCAAATATAATTGTTGAAATTGGTATTGTAAAACTGTGAATACTATAATTCCTACTTCCCTACCTTCAATCAGTAAAATATTTTCCTTTAAAGTTAAGAAAATCCCAAGGTTTATCGGTTTATCTTGCATGTGTGACAACTGGGCATGCTATGAGTAGCAGCCCATGGTCCAAAGCGGAACACATAAAATATCATTTCAAGTGCCAAGTTTTCTCTGATTCTTTTTTTTTTTTTTTTTTACAGAATTTTGAAAGTGGCTTAAATCTAATTGGCTCCCTCAGGATCTCCACTCCTGTTACATTTGCAGAGTTTCTTTTTTGAGTGGCATCTGGAGAGAAGGCACTGCGAGTTGGCATGCAGAGTAGGTGAATGCAACAACTTTTTTTCCCCCTTCATTAGAAACTGAAATCTTAGCTCAACTCTCCCTGAGTTTTGAGTGCTTGACTCCTGCAACTGTTTTTTGTAATATTGGATTCTACTTTTCCTAGTTTTGAATTTCATATGTGTGAGAATAGCAGCCATAACTGCTACCACCCATGGTGGCCAGCCTCCGAAGAAGAGCCTCTCTTCTCTCCAAAGAAGAGAGAGGAAACAAACGCTGTGGTAGTAGAAAAGCTTAGGTCCGTGTATAACAAGCAGCGTCTACAGGCCTACCTGGCTTTATGGTGTCTGGTCCACCAAAAGTAATTGCCTATTTAACAACAGAGCTGAATTATTTTTAGTGGCCCATTTTCACATGTTTCTGTGGTGTAAAGAACTGGGAGGAAATTGCTGAAGTCTTTCCCTTCATCACTACAAGGTCCTACCTTTGAAACCCACACAGCAAAGCAAATGCGAGGATGCCACCTGTCAGCATAGGGGAAGGGAAAAGGAGAGAGTGGGACCTTTTCTTGATTCGAAATTGTGTTTTAGCCAGATACTCATGCTGGGGGTTCCGAGATATAACAGCAACAGGAAATAGAGAACCTATTTTAAAATATAGTCTTCAAACATTTTTAAGCCAAGGTCAGAGCCTCTGTCTGTGGAGTTGAAGGCCAGGGATGAGGAAAGTCAAGCATTCACGAGACTGCTGACCCAGTTTGGACAGTGTCCTGAAGGCATTCAGTTAGGAAGGCCTGTTGAATATAGTGGAGAGGCTGCTTTTTGTTGTTCTAGTAAAATAACAGATGGAGGAAGGGCAAGAAAATATGACTTGAAGGCTCTAAATTAGGAAAGCCTTATCTTATAATAGGTGACATATTTTTCTCCTAAACACAAGCCAGAAAATAACAAAGATGGCCACAAAAGCAATTTCTGCATGTGAATGTGTGTGTGTCCCAAGAAGGAATAGGTGTTTAATCGCAACCGAAGTGCCCAGGTCTCGGTTAGGCAGAACCTAAAAAAAAAAAAACCAAATTTCAGATAGCAGACAATGAAGTTCATTTAGAAAAAAAAATCTATTCATTAATTTCTTTAAAAACTAAGATTCTCACTCATTTCAAAAATATTTCTCAAGACTTTTTCCTAATATACAATTGTATACATCTGCCAGGGAAGATAAAGGCCAGCCAGACTCCATTTATTTGTGTTAATGTACTTGTGGGTTTTTTTTTTGTTGTTGTTCATTTGCTCTGCACCCCCAGTTACCATCAACATTACAATCTCTAAAGAGTAGGTAAATGTAGTTAGGATTTGTCAGGAAGACATGAGAATAGTGAAACTTGGAAAATCAGTTTTATAGCCTTTTTTATTGTAGCTTCAGTTTTATAATAAATTAATGCAAAAAAGAAAAATTTAAACTCACGGTTGCATGTTCCTAATGAAGGTGGTGATAATGATGATTCTAACTATTAATGCTTACTATGCCTCAGGAAGTCCTCTTAATTGTCTAGGAGCAATAACACTTATTTCTGATAACAACAGTCTGAGGTTGGTCCTATTATCACCACCATTATTCAGATAAAGTCACTGGATCAGAGGGGTTAAGTAACTTACCTAAGTTATACAGCAAATTATGGCAGACCTTTTGCCTTCTCTTATCCACTTGACTTTGCTGCATTTTCTCCAAGGCAGAGATGATAGATTTTATTCCTTTTTCATAATCCCTTGGGAATTTGATGCAGAATTTGAAGAAAGTATTTTCCGAATTTGTGTAAAATTGAATTAAAGGCACACAGTCCTAGCCTGGAAGAAAAACTGTTCCAGACTTCTTTTTCCTCAGGCGTCCATGGAAGAAGTTGCACAAGTGCCGCCTCCATGGGCTCTGGTTGACTAAGACTGGGCTTGTGTTAGAAAGCATCTCTTACTATGTGAAATATACGAACACTTCTAATTTAGAAGTTTCACTAAAAAAAAAAAGTTATATATTTTTTCTGTTATATCCTGATAAAGCTGACAAACATATGGCCCTAGACCATTGGCTCTACCAGTGATGAGGTAACATACTCATAGAGTTGGTTAGTTTACAGTTTGGTTACTGTGAATAATACTGCTCTGAATACTGTTGTATGTGATGTATGCGGTATATATGTAGGCATCTAGAAGTGGAAGTGTGTTGTGTGCTGAAATAAATACAAACTTTGACTTTAGTAGATGCTGCTACTGAATGTGTCACTTCAGACACCCACTGGTGGTGTGAGGGAGTTCCTGTTGCTGAGTGTTCTGTCCCATACTTAGGATCACCAGTGGAATTTTGAAGTATTTCCCTAGTGACTAAATATACTGAACATATTTTTGTTTCAAAGTTTCATTTATCAGTCTTCATGCTTTCATTTTTTTCTGAAAAGTTTCAGACACAGAGAAATGTTGACAAATTTGGATAGTAAAAATAAATATATTTACTAACTAGATATGACTGAATTTTATTATATTTATCACATTATCCATTTATACCTTATCTAGTCATTAGTCCAGTCTGCTTATTTTGATGTATATCAAAGTTAATTAAGTAGATCACTATCATTTCCACTTTGGAAGGTAATGAAAATTATTTTAGTTTAAATATTTTCACTCAATGAAACATTTTACTGTATTTCTTAGTTGTATTCTTTTCATTTCCTTACCCTAGTGAAGGGAATTGTTCAAGAAAGATTTAGTGGTCTCCCTGGTGGCACAAGGTGTTAAATCTCAGCTCTGTGAAGCTATCAGCAGCCACTGAAACACAAGTTCTATTCCTGGCCAGGGAGGTGACCCACATAGTGTGGCAGACTTCTCCTGTCTAGCCCACTGCTCCCCTCAGCAGTGTATTTCAGTCAGTCTGCCTGTTACGCTCCCACTCTGTCTCTGGTAAATCTTCTTGCTCTCCCACTTCTGGCCTTCACCTTAGCTCTTGATGCATGAATAAATAAATCTTTTTTTTTTAAAGAAATATTTAGTTTATGGAATTTGTTATAAAATCAAGTTTTAATTTATACATTATGATTTAATTGTTCAGGAATTCCAAAACTATGGTTGCAATGTCTGTGACTTTTGACAGCAAATGATGTGCTTTATTTATCATTGTCCGTATTTTGGGAGTAAAGGATACCCCCTTCATGTGTTATTACCATAGTTCACCCCCCCACCTAAACATCCATATTTCAACACTCTAGTCTACTGTGCTCCCTCCCACTTTGTTCTTGCCCTTCCATCTTCTCCTTCCTCTCTGGCTTCCTCAGTTCTATAATCATCTTCTAAAAATTATTTTTTTTAAAGTTTGGTTTTATCTGACTGTTTGATTTCTCAAAATTCAATGTTTAAGTATTTTAATAGTCTTGTGTATCTATTAAAGTGTTCTATACATTTACCATAAAAGTTGTCTTCTTTGAGAATTTCATCTTTGCAAGTTAAGTAAAAATATTGTCAACCAATATACTAATGCTTTCAATGTCAAAGAAATTAGCTATTATCACATTAGTTTTGTGCATCTATTAATCTAGAAAATTCAAAGTAGCTACTCAAACCAATGTTTTTAAAACTTCACGTGGAAATACATCTTTTTTTTATGATGGTGGCAACATAAAATGATGGAAACGATGTTTGTCATGAAAGCTAGTATAAAACTACCTATGACTGCATGTGAAATGTGAATGTAACAATAGCCCCTTTCTTGTCTTCAAATGCAAATTTCTACCTTCCAGCTTGGACCATGATATGGCCTATTCCCAACTAGTTTATTTACCTTTAGTATGTTCCAGTTATCTTGATGTTTTCAGAGATTTTGATAAAATTTAGGAAGGCACACCACAGTGCAGTCCGTCCCTTCCTTTCTTCTCCCCTCTCTCCTTTCCTTTCTTCCTTCTACCCATCTTTCTAAGAGCTCACTCTGGTCTTTTACCACTGAGTTCCATTATATCAGAAGAACAATGTGTTAGCATTTCATTTAAGATAATTTAGCACCATAAATTTCTAAAAAGAGATAAAAATAGATATTTTAAAATAATAAAAGTAAAGCAGTATTGTTTAATATATTCATGCTAAATGAAAATTCAGTTGTTTTAACAGGAGAGGGCCAAAATCCAAATTGTATAATAGTCTTCAGAATTTTTTAATTTTAATTTAGATATCCTTGTCTTCATCATTGTTGACAAATCACCAAGCTCTATTTTATCATCATTTCCAAAACTAACTGTATCTGTTTCATTGAATTCAGCATGCTCTGAAGCTCTCCATAAGCCTTCGGTGTTCTAGATTTGTATGCATTGTACTTTAAAATTACTTCAGCTTTGTTATCCTGAGAATGTCATAGACAAACTAATATCATGTCTTAGGTATTCATCCAAGCCTGCACATACTCTTGATTGTTCTTTTTTAAGATCAATTACCTTTTATCAGATTTTCACCTGTGTCTGCTCTTGTCCCTATTACCTTTATTCTTGAGCACAGTGATCTTCACCAAACACCTTATGTCTTTTGGACTTTGTTCCAGTGGTGGTTGTAATGACAAAAGCCATCTCTTGATATTGGAAGGATTTTGTTAAGAATTTACTTTAGTATTTACTTCTTTATCATTTGAAAGCTGACTGCTGTTTCCATTATTTTCTTTTCATCAGTCACTAACCAGTATTATATTGCTGTCTTTTTCAGTGGAGGTCACACTGGTTTATAACACTGTAAGTTTTAGGTGTACAGCTTCATGCTTGGATATCTGTGTGGACCAAATTAAGATCACCACCTGAAATCAGTTTCCACCATACCATTGACGGCTTTATGTATTTTGTGCATCTCCCCCTTACTCTGTTTTCTTCAACATTCTGTTGTCCAAATCAAAGGGTTTGTTATTATTTCATTTGTTGTTATAGCTATGAGTGAAATCTTTATATGTTTGACTTATTAAAAGAATCCCTTCATGGTCCACAAAAGTTTCAGTTTTAATAGAGAAACTTAGACTGTAGATTAAGGAAGTTGA